AATTATTTCAGCCTTGGTTTCCTGCCCAAGAAAAAAGAAACAATATTTTGAAAAAAGTTGGAACTATTCCAAGATGACACTTYATGAGTGGGCYGATATTTGTRAGTGYGTATTGATGATTTTGACCATCTTCYCTTCTTGAATRAGCATTAAAGAAGATTCTTTAAAGCTTTTTTCCCACTGTCTTATTCTAGCTGTTTTATAGGGTCAGTTCAAATGTTAAGCCTTCAACCTATTTTKYGTTGATCTTTGTATAYGGTGTAAGATAATGGTCCAATTTAAAAAAAATTTAAAGAATCTTCTTTAATGCTCTTAAAATTAAGCCTCTGCCAATGAAAAACTATGACAAATCAAGTTAGTAAGTATAAAGGCTCTCTGTAGGTAACTTCTAATTTTCTRGTTGGTATAGATTATACATAAAAGAGTAAATGTAATGAAATCAAAATAGCATGACACCACTGTTCTTCTGTGTGTCTGTGCAGTGGCACATCATACTGTCTCTAGCATGGCCAACCCTCTTCCGTTTCTCCCAAAGCACCTTCCTATCCCTACTGGCTCAAGACATTTCTACCACCAAGATCTTCCTGACTTTCTCATGTCCAAGTCATGTCATCCTTCCTCTAACCAGGCATCTATCAAAGCTCTCATCAGTGTGTACTGCAGATGTAATTCTACTGTCATACTTCACTAGATTGAGATCCTTGATGGGACTATGCCATAGATGTTGCAGGTGCCAAGCACAAAGCATTTAGTCCATAATGTTTGATGATTCCATAAAGAAAAAGATGATGGACAGGAGTGAATAGAAGAACCAACATAGAGACAAACGAATTCCCCTGCCTAGATAAATGGTTCCAATTGACTTCAACACCACACAGACTCATTTTTACCTGCTTTTATCAATCTGATTTATTAATCTACAAAGACAAATTGGAGTATTGTATTACCAAAGGATTCTAACAAACCTTCCACTATTCTGGTTAGCCATGGAATTAATATGTAAACGTTTGCCAGAGTGGTGGTGCACACCAGTAATCCCAGTGACTCAGGAGGTTGAGGCAGGAGGATCTCAATTTCAAAGCCAGCTTCAGCAATTTAGCAAAGCCCTAAGGAACTTAGTGAAACTCTTTT